CTCTTGGTTTTGCAGTATACCTAATACCCTAGTATGCTATGGACATGAAATGAATACTGAAGCCGCGTATCTCCAGTTCCTTAACTCTGAAACTTAATATGATTAGTTGGCTTCCATTTCTTAGCTATAGTGTCAAAGGATTATACTTTTTGTTGTCTTTCTATAATGGAATTTGTTTGCTTCTTTGTTTACTGCAGGGTCCCCATAACATAGCAAACTCAAGTATCAAGAAGGACGAAGAAGATGAGTCAGATGTCCTTATTGAATGTAGAGATGTATACAAATCCTTTGGGGAGAAGCACATATTAAGAGGTGTGAGCTTCAAGGTGACATTATTGATTATGGCTATTACGGACTCCAGCAAATTACTTTAATATGGACTACAAACACATAATACATGGTCTGTACCAACAGTTGTTGAATTAATCGTCATGTGTCTTATTTCTGGGTGTGGGGGAATGGGAGTGTTACTATGTTTCTATTTAACTTATAATTTTTTTCCCTCTTGTTGGTTTAATTAATCAAATCATTGTCTTACATTTTAATCCGATTCCCATATCGAATTATCTTTGCCCTGCTCCTGAATTTCAATTGGAAAAAGTATCATTCCTTTGTAGATTAGGCATGGAGAGGCTGTTGGAATTGTTGGTCCATCTGGGACAGGTAAGTCAACCATCTTGAAGATTATGGCTGGGCTTCTTGCGCCAGACAAGGTATCATTTTATTGTGTTCTTTTAGTTTTCTAATATTTGTTATCTTCAACTGATTTAGTTCTGCAAGAATGGAATCCAGCATTACTACTATCTACGTGTTATCTTTTAACAATTTTGATTATTGAATAGGGTGAGGTTTTCATCCGAGGAAAAAGACGACATGGCTTGATTAGCGATGAGGAAATATCTGGTCTTAGAATTGGCTTGGTAAGAATATATAGTTGCGGTTTAAGTCATTCCAGTTGTTCCAAGCAGTTCCTGAATATCTTTCTGTGTTATAGGTGTTTCAGAGTGCAGCACTTTTTGATTCTCTGACTGTTCGTGAAAATGTCGGTTTTTTGTTGTAAGTAGTAAGAGTCCTCTTTGGAAATGTTAGTAAGCCTGTTGTTGCACTATTAACGAATGTATTTGAGCAACTATGATTCTTATTATTCGTTAAACGTTTATTAATGTTACAGGTATGAAAATTCTGCTATGCCTGAAGACCAAATTGCCGAGCTCGTGACAGAAACTTTGGCTGCTGTTGGATTGAAGGTATGAATTAATGATTATTTTGTCTGAAAGTTATTATTGTTGTTCGGTGGTGACTTTTCAAGTTATGAAGGCTTACAATAATGGCTTATCTTACTAGTTAAGAACTAACAAGTAATAGCTGCTCAGGTACTTGATGTTTATGTTGCTCCTCTTTAATTACAATTATTGGGGTCCTGGACTGAATTTCCAAAATATGCCCATTCCAGTATAATAAAGTATCCTTTATATAAAGCTTAATATGCATCTTGTTAGAGAATAGAATCAACACTATTTATCAAAGTTAGATATTTTCGTATACTGTTCAGGTTAAAGATACTTGAGTTGAATTGACCAGGGAAATTGATTGGAAACTAGAAGTCATTTCTATTATTTGGTGTCATTCAATGAAAGAGCTTATTAATTTTTGGAGGAAGGCAAAGTTTAGACGACTTCTTTTTGCAGGAAGTTGAGGATCGATTACCTTCTGAATTGTCGGGTGGGATGAAAAAGAGAGTTGCCCTGGCACGTTCTATAATATTTGATACAACAAAGGATGCAATAGAGCCTGAGGTATGAGGATGCTTTGCCATGAAAACGTTTGCTTTTTTTCTTTTGTAAGTGATATAGTTTTTCATTATGTTGGTTCATGTCATTTTCTCCCAGCTTGGTGTAACACTTCCTCTTGCATTGTATGAAATGTAAGTATCATGACCAGTTTCCTAACGAACTACGATTGTTGGTGTGGAATGTTATATAGCTGCTAGGACGATCAGTTCAATCATAAACTAAATTGTTAAAGTCAGTACATGATTTCTTGTGAAATTGTTGCCCACTTTCAGATAATCTCAAGGCTATATTTTGATGGTTTGGTTTTTAAGGGGATCAGTTTGACCACAATGCATTTAAGTAGAATATTTTATACAATCCAGCTGTCGTGATAATAATTATCTTATTCATTCTTAAATTGTGGTACTTATTTAGTTTCGTCTCATAGTTTTGCCTTTCAGGGCTATTGCTTTGGCATCTTGCAGAAATTTCTCACTAAGTTCAGCTTCCGTGATGATAATTACCTTCATCTTCCCCTTACATTGTGGTTTTGTAGTTACATTTATTGATAGTTATACTGACGTATCAAGTAGGTACTCCTATACGATGAGCCAACAGCAGGTCTTGATCCGATTGCATCCACTGTTGTTGAAGATCTCATTCGATCAGTTCATATGAAAGGGGAGGATGCACTTGGGAAGCCTGGGAAGATTGCATCTTATGTAGTCGTCACTCACCAACATAGCACCATCACAAGAGCTGTTGATAGGTAGTGATAGGTTTCTATTCATTTTACTGAGAAGTCATATCTTTTTAGTCTTGTTTTGCCCTTCACCATTTTGCGATTTATATAGTCCTAAAAACAAAACCATATCCAGGCTGATATTTTTGCATGAAGGGAAAGTTGTGTGGCAAGGAATGACACATGAGTTTGCTTCATCCACAAATCCGATTGTTCAACAGGTAACTTCAATGTTTTGCCTTCTCTCTTTTCCAAAGCGTGCACGCATGAGCGCGCATTTGTGTGAACACTCAGGCAGACTGACAGACACCACAATCTGTGCATTTAGGAAAATGAGCTATCTATGACAATTGTTTTCAGTTACTATTAAGACCAGCATAGCTTTCATTTGGTATTTCATTCTATAAGGCTAGTTTGTTACTTGTACATTGAGAAATGATTATTGATATCGGGATATTTGATTTCTTATGCTTGATCAACTTTTTCTTTTGTTATCCATCAATGGAAAACAATCCTTGTTTATTAATTTTGGTAAGTTGCCATGTAATATGTGTTTGGTCTGAGGAACAATGCACATTTGTAACTTACATTAATAAATTAAGTTACAACGCTTTCAGTTTGCGTCGGGGAGTTTGGATGGGCCGATTAAGTATTAACTGGTGAGGCCATGTGATAAGGGTTAATGGAACAAGTTGAGATGGTGCTTCAACTCTTGCCATTCATTATCATAATCCCAGAAGGAGTGCTTGCTGCTAACAGATGAGTTGTGGAAGTTTCTGTTTCGGGTTTTATTTGCTCTCTAAGGGAGTGTTGGGACGTTTGATCCTCTGTTTATTAGTACTGACTGGGTTTTGTGCGAGAATTTCATTCCGAGTATTAACTTGTTTTAATGCTGACATTCATACAACTTGCAATATTTTAGCATTATTATGTATCTTGCTTGTAGTGTATAACTGAGGGGAATCTCATGTATTCCCAGAAACTTGTAAACTTTTTTTTTTTTTTTTTGNTGGTGCTGTGAAGGGAGTGCCCTCAGTCCTCCTGCCAATTAAAACTCCTCTCTCCAAAATATATGTTTTTGCGTATTCCCCTTTTTATATCAAGACTTCAATTGGTATGCTCGAGAAATAGGCCAATTCCGCGGCTTTTTCGTCAATTTCTCGTGGATGAAACAACTAAGGGATCCCAACTGTTCACCTCCCGAATGGAAAACGCTCTCTGCCAACAATTTCCCTCGCAAATTATATGTCCAGCCAGTCAAAATCTGATCAAGTGTCAAAGCCCTTCAATTCCTCTCTCACCCCATAATTCAAGTCCTGCGCCTTTTAAAACTTTCAACAACTCAAACTCTTTTGGTGGGTCCACTAATTACATTACATTTCCTAACATTTATTTCCGAATGTCCTTCGGCATTAGTTATAATCTTGGGCCGTAATTACCCTTTTGGACTGAATAGTGATCGATATTTAGCGTTTCGCTAATCGCGTATTCGAGCTCTTGTTCGATATCTCGCTATCCACGAAAATTCTCTAATATTCTGAAAATAAACATAAAAAATATCAAAGTAAATAAATTCATCCAAATAATAATAAGTTAAAAATATAAATGTGCGAATAAATTAAATGTATAAAAATACACTACTAAACATATAAAGCGCGCATATTTTTCGACCTGTCAATTCTTTTTATGTTTATTATTTAATTGATAAGAGAATATTTATTATTCTTATTATTGGTATTAGAATATTTAGTAAGAAATCTTGTCTTGTTGAAAAAATTAAGAGTAGGTTTTATGAGCCTTATTTAAATGACTCCTCTTTTTTGTTTTTCAGCAGTTGATTATTATCGTGTTTAGGTGTTATTGAGATTGCGATCTCATTAATATCGTTCCATTCGTACGTTTCCCTACATCAGTTCTATAGCTTTCTATAACTCGACTATAAACGAGCCGAATTCAAACTCTGATTGTTAACGAACCTAGCCAATAGAAGTTTTAGTTCAAACTCAGACTTGCTTATACCTAAAGGCAGACCAATGGATTTAGAGTTATAAAATAAAATAAAAGGAGCACATGATTTGATCTTAAAACAATATTAACGCAAATAAAATATAATGAAAATTTTAGAAATTTTATAATATAAAAATAATGTGGTAAAAAATTAATTGTGAATGATAAATCTTATGTTAATAAGTAATAGTTATAATTATATGTGTAGATATTAGTAAATTTTTTGAAAAGATCAATAATTAATTGTTTTAAAATAATGATTTGAAAAAAATTGAGGATTAAAAAAAGTGAAATCATAAAAAGAGTAAATTTTCTTGGAGAATGAAAACCAATTTCTATTAACGTTCAATGGCAACCAACTATTTCCTACATTTTTATTGCAGTTTGCAGAGTAAATGAGACCATGCTATAAAATAAACGAAATTTATCTCAAGTCCACACTCAGTACAATTTTTTTAATTATTTTACCATTTTCAAAATTTAAAAACATCATCTGCAAATCAGACCAATTCACCCCTGCTATCAGCAATAAGTACCAAAAATATCATATAGTAAATACATAAAACCTAAAAAACTTCATGTAAAGCACATTAAACATCAAACCAAAAAGAGCACTATAAGTTACCACAACAAAAACAAATAATCACAGAATTATAGTGACAAACAACTTCATCTACATTCCTTAGCATATACAAATGCAATACATATACACCCTTCTAACTATAAAAACAAAAATATATAAATGATTAGAAGGATGAAGGAAGACATAGGAATTTCAACATAAAACAAAAACACCCAACCAAATCAAAGAATTTAATGTTTCTTCTTATCTTCAGACAGCAACACAGGATCATCATCATAGCATATATGGTAGTCGAAGAAGACGACAGAATTAACAATTAACACAAAATGAAAACATAAATATTAAAAAAAAAAAAAAAAAAANGAAAAGAAAAGGAAAAATAAAAATAAAGAAGACAAATCAATCCTCAAGGCCAACACCGAATAGCCAAAGCCAAACAGCTACCGACAAGTTGATGCACAGTAAGGCGGGCACCAAAAAACCCGAGCTGAACAAACTAAAACTTGCAGGTTTAGTAGAGAGGGAAAAAGCACTTTGAATTTTGCACGACTAGTTTTTTTTTTGGGTTACGGTTTTTGAGAAATTTCCGTTTCTAGAAGAGATCGACTTTCCTTTTAAGCATGTCTTGCTTCCACTTTGGCAGCTTGTAGAATGCTTCTTTGGCCATTCCCAGCACAGACTTGAACTCCTCGTCCGAAAGGTACGCCTGCAAAAGCGATTTAAAATAATAATAATAATAAAAAAAAATACACGTCAAATGATACATTTACGACCAATTGCAAAAATAACCCATGAGGTTGAGTACGGTAAAATTAAAAAACCAAACCTAAATTGAAATGGACAAAAACATTACCTCTCTGCGCTTAAAATCGATACCCGTAACAGGATTTTCAGATTTGGACTTCAACTGCTCGTAACTAAACGTACTCTGAGTATCTTCAGAGCCATTTTCATCCCGGTTAGCCTCTTCATCCTCCCCATTAGTCTCTGGTGCAGGCTCAACTACTTTAGGGATTTCTTTGTTTTCCTCGATATCAAAAGAATGCTCACTTTTCACAGAAGCTGAAAACGAAATACTTTGCAAAGTTAAGCCATAATATATCCAGGGTAAATGAATTACTCTACATTACTGATAAAAATACGCAAAAATGCATTTTTAGTCCAGCTGACTTGAACGCCACAGCAATTTTAGTCCCAAAGTTCCAACATTTTGCCTTTTGGTCCTGTGATTTAATATCTTGCTGCAATTTCAGTCATTTAAATTGCAACAAATTCTCAGATTTTTTGTTAGCAATTTAGGTCCTGTAATTTAAAATTTTGTTGCAATTTTAATCTTGAAAGGAATAAATTTGCAGCAAAATATTAAATCACAGGACCAGAAAGCGAAAAGTTGGAATCTTGAGATTAAAATTGTTATGGCATTAAACCAACAGGACTAAAAATGCATTTTTGCCATAAAAATACTACCCCTGAGACCTGTAACTTAATTACAAATACTCTTATCACAATTACATACACCCTATCTAGAACTAGAAGTAGATTCCAAGTTCAGTCAATTTGCAATTTGCTCCCTGGACCAGCCGAAAATCCAAATATATTTTAAACTCGTGATAAGAAGCCTGAGTCAGCTCCCAGGAGGGTTAAGAGCANAAGAATAATGGGTGTTAAAAAAAAAAAAAAAAAAAAAAGAAAAATCGAAACAATTCATGAAAGAAGGAAAAAGAATTCGTTTGTACCGGGAGAGCCTGCTTCTAGCGGTGGGGCCCGCCTGGACCGTGCGGGAGACACGTCTGGCGAACCCTTCTTTTCGGCAGTCAAAACAGAAGACAGTGCAGCCACTGCAGCTGCTCTCTGTGAAGCCCCGGTTTTCCCACCCGAACGTGGGCCCGAGCCAGCTTTCGGGGAAGGTGATGAACTGAATGCCGAGTTTAAGGCAGCCAAAGCCGAAGCCCTTTGAGTGGGTCCCCCTTGATTAGAGCCATTGGATCTCTCCTGTTTTATTTATTTTTTATTTTTTATTTTTATTTTTTTTAAGATTATTAGCTAAAACCGAGTGAGTTTAAGGTTAAGGGTTCAAATCGACTATAATTGTGCTGTCCAAAAAAATAATAATAATAATAATGCAGACAATTGAGATCTCACAGGCTTCTAGTTGAAAAACATTCATCATTTAAGTAGTTCGTTTAGAGAGTCCGATTTAGATATAATCCGGACCAGAAAAGAAGAAAGAAAAAGATAAGGTCACATTATTTTTTAAAGTTTACCTCTACAGAATGAGAAGCACCAAAGAGTAGCATGACCTTTTTCTGGAAAGAGTTCCCATGTGCCTGTTTTTAGGAAAGAAAAGCATAATACGAAAAAGTTAGTTAATAAGTAAAAAATCAAGACGGGATAGACACTTGAAAGAACAAATATCCACAACATACATTAGCTTTAGCATGATCCCATGAAAAATGTGTGGTGAAAAAGCACGGTTCGTTTCCTTCAGTGATTTTGTATAACGGGATATTTGGCGGTAACCCTTCAAGTGAAGAAGCCATCCCAATGTATTTCTGCAAAATAAACTCCACCGGTCAAACGAGCCCAGATGGAAGGAACTTAAAGGGATTTATTTAAAAGTTGAAATTGTATTTTATTTTACCTGCCCAATTTCAAAAGCATTTTGCTTCTCTTTGGAGTCCACTGATTGGCCGACCCAAATAAACACTTCGGCATGCGTGTCGAGTATCAATATATCCTCTGTCAAGAGGTCATCTTGAGAAAAATTGTACACTTCTTCCACCTGGAAAATAAATATTAGTTAGAAATATAAATATTTTAAAAAGTGCCGAAATGGCTAAAGAGAATTTACGTTTCCCCTAGTGTATACCTCGAATTTTCCTGGAAGTACATGAGGTGGGAATATATGCATCAAAAGAGGAAAAGTTAGACGAAAATCGAAATTACTACATAACTAACTTAGTGGAAAAGGAAAGTCATTCAAAAAAAAAAAACCTTTATTAAAGGAAACTGCAAACAAGTGGGGATCTCGGACAACCTCGGACGAAACCTTCTTACTGGTGTAACTTAGTTTTCCTCCGAGTGCAAACCAGAAAGATGAGCTCTCAGTTCCTTCTTTAGTGTGTTTGACGGTGGACCCAGGCTGAACTCATGAAGATTACAATGAAATAAGATATTAGTTGAGAAGAAGAACCAGTAAAAATAAAAACCTAAGCAACAAAAAAAATTCAATTGATTTTCAAACTCCCATTAGTCTGAACAAGAAACATAAGAACCTGATGTATATACTTCAATATGGAAAAACATACCTTTAGAAATTCGGCAATTTTGGCCGCTAACTGTTGCTGTTCAAAGGAGCCTTGATTACCATGCCAACTGAACACTGAAGATCCAGATTGCAGCAAGAAACATTCATATGTATTCAATGATGTTGCCACCTAAGAAGTTATGCAAGTCGAGTAAAAAAGGGGATCACTTTCATTCATTTTGCTCCAACATAGGAGAAACAAATACATATCAAAAACCAAAATGTAGGTTTACAACTTACAGCTTCTACTTGAACAGCTATGTTGTTATGAAGTGAAGTTCCTGATATGCGGATGAGTGCAACACTATCAGCAGTGTATGTTTCGTCATTTAAACCTTTATCTGCTATATAATTCTTGTAACCAGAGCTCAGTCCACCCTAAATCAACAATTTTTGAGATCATAAAAAAGTGAACTACTTACGCGCACCAGGTTTTATTTTCTTACAGCAAGTTCATTTATCTTTCGTATTTCCATGTAAGAAGAGAAGTACCTTAAGGACAACCATAGGCTGAAAAATCGCAACAAACTGTGGGGGCTCTTTGCCTTGAAACACACGACCCTGAAGAAAACATAATTGGTTATACTCAAACTTCCTACATTTTCACAGTATTATGTTGTAAAAAAACATAAGTGTTTTCATATATTCATTACCAGTACTGGCTTCCCTTTCATTGAGTTATACATTGTAGCGGATAATTTAGCAGCAGTATTTTTGTCCTCCTGAATATTCGTTTTTACCATGTGTTAGCTCTATTCTTCTACCAACAGAAAGCAGATTAACAAATCTTAAGAATTTAAAGCAAGGATATACAGTAAGTACCTCAATGCTGTCTTTACCAATCCAATAACACAAGTAGTAATCTTCTTTTCTTTCGTGAGAATGATAAGTGTAGAGCACAATATAGCAATCCCCACTGTAAAATTTACCGATGTCTTCACTAGACACTGGGGTCTTAGCACTACCATCTATGCGCCAAACCTGGAAAAACAAATCAAATTTTAAATTACGAGCAATTAGATGTTATAACATATATAATCATGCCGATTAGAAATACAAAGTCAGACCTCTGTTTTGCCACCTCCTTCAAGCAAAGGAGGAACATCTTCATGAACTGGAGCACTTTTACTTGCTCCCTTCATAACACCACCTTGCTGCTTCAGTAAAGCTGCAGGATTTGAAAANATCGTTTTATTAGACATGTCAAAAACATAAGTTTTGACGAACTTTGGACTGACATAAATCACATACCAGCCACTTTTCCCCTTCCCTCTTCGGCAACAGGAGCTGATCCTAACGGCCACGAATCAAAGTTGGACTTGAACGAATGTGTCTCATAACCTTGAATAATTCGAGTTATACGTGTTGCCTTTGGTCTACCTTGGCTAGCCACAAAATCCTGAAAAGTGATTTGATTGTTTGAGCTTTTGAGGTCCTGTAATAAAGTATTAACAGATGCAAAGATTCTTTCTTTTTTTTTTTAATTATTTTTTTTATTTTTTACTTTCAGCATCTTTTACCTCTGCTGCTCGAATGACACTTTTTCTCTCCTCAACTTGAGTTACCCGACCAAGCCAAACAAATACTTCTGAACCACAATCCAATAAATAGCATTTGTTGTTTTCGAGAAGTGATTTGGAAAGTTCGCCATCTACGGTGCTGACTTGACCATCAATAATGCTGCCATGGGAACCAAAGGAATAAATAACCGAGACTTAGATGTTGGGTGTCCATAATCAAGCAAACATGACCAATCACTCCCTCAAGGAATAATTAGATTAAGCATACAATCCAAAATTACAAATAAATTAAGTGGAGCAATTACAATTAGAGTTATCAAAGTACTATTACCAATGGAACCCGTTAGACTTAAATGGAAACTAAGAGTAATAACTCAGAATTAACATAGAACATGAAAAATAAACCTGTAGAGCTGGGCAGGAGTTTTCTCTGGAATGATATCATCTTCAGTAGCAACCTTCTTACCGATTGGAGCAAATCCACCAAACAGGACCCAAAATTCACCAGAATCTGTCTCGGCTTGTAATTTCCCATCATCTAAATTAGGATAACACTTACCGTCAATAAGAATAGATGAAGATATAATACCAAAAAAAAAAAAAAATGGAATNTGCTTCAATCTAACATTTCGTTTTCCTCTACAAATATATAACCGCGTCTCAAATTCTTCTTCTTCAGGTTTTTTAAATCCAGATGCAACACCACCTTCAAGAGGTATGATACATGGTTTAAAATACGACAAAAATTTGTCAGACTCGTGCCCTTGTAATTCTCTATACTGCACAGCACGGCCACCAAGAATCGCATCAAGTTCAACAGTTTTAATAGCAGCAGTTCCAGCTTCATCCTGAGTTAATCACAAAAACACAAGTTACTAAGTTAGACATCAAGAAAAGATGTTCTAATCTTGAAAGAGAAAGTACTGACATGATCGATCCATACCTGGCTAGTATCCTTTCCAAGCCAGAAGTGAATGTCGAAAAGATAAGCACCTCCCTTGCCAGGACTAGTCTGGATATATATATATATAAGCATTCAATACAGTAAGTCTGGAATCACCTCCATATAGAAAATGAGGGAAAAAAACCACAAGATAAAAGGGAAAAGAGAAGCATACCTGAAGAATAATATAAGAATCTCCAGAGTAGAATTTACCAAAATCAGATTTTGGCAAAGGAACAGGTTGAAAGTTCTCAATTCTCCAAATCTCTGTCCCTCTGTAAGGTGGTGTTAAGTTTAACAAGGACAGAAAATTTTTGACTAACATGGATAAAATAAATGAATAAAGGTCATCAACTACAAATAAATTCAGGCTGAGAAATGATGATGAAATAGTAGTCAATTGGTTAGCCATTCAGGCATATTTTTCAATAAGGATACACTTTCTGACCCGCTCCCTGAAAAGCAGGTTCTAGAGCTTTTGCTGCGGTAGACATTGTATGATATCCTTCTCGATTATCAAGCTTCTATTGACAATGTGAATCAACTTGCTCAAGAATCTGAAATTTGATGTTAAATAGCAGCAATCCTTAAAAACGTAAGGAGAAGAAAAAATAGAAAATGAAAATTGCGCGTAGACCATAGTAAATAACATCCATGTGCCCATAACAACTTAATTTATATTTATTCAATTGCAGTAATATGACAATATGGCTGGCTCCTTGCAGCAGTGTGAAGTACCAGTTAGTCAATCTCTTTGATGTAATACTCCATTAACTAAAGAAACTCCAGGGAAATAAAAATAAAACCTGCCTCTTGCAATTTCTTAATTACAAGCTTAATTTTCAAACTAAACAATGTATTATCTAATTTTCTAGAGTAAATATTCGAAAACAAAGCTCAATATACACCTACAGGAGCCAAAGCTTCAAACTTTATACAGAATCTCCAAAAACAAGAGATCATACAAATTATTTGAAGCTCGACCAAAAACCCAATTATCATACATTTGAGCTCCGAGAGACGATATAAAATCAGATTTCAAGTAATCAATAAATTGATAGCTGATCTTTCTGCATTGATAAAATCATTGCACATATTAAATCTACTTTCCAATGTCAATATCAATTTATAAATGATTAGCAAAAAATAAAATCTCACAAATCACCAACAGTACCTCCGAGATCACCATGAAATTGAATCCAACACTACACAACACATGACAGAAACGAAACAACGGGATCAAAGGACCCAAATCAAAATACAGGGAAACAAAAAATGATCCAAAAAGCAATTGTTGTCTACTTACCCAATCAACAAAAGAGATCGGTTCAATTCTCTTTCTCAAAAATCTTGATAGAAAAGGGGGTTTCCTAGAGCGAGAAAGTACAGAAAAAGAGAAAGGTTTATTGGGAGGAGAGAGGAGGAGCATGCAGAGCTGGCATATGAACAAAAGCAGACATAGGAAGAGGAAAATTATTTATTGTACAGAGAAAAAAGGGAAAATAACCAATTGCTGCAATTTGTATTGTGGGATGAAAAAAAAAAAAATGATTTCTTTGATCTCTAGACTTTTTTTCAAATAATTGCTGCAATAGGTAGCATGGGATGTAAAAAATTGATTCTTTTGATCTCTAGATTTATTCTTCACTTTTTTTTCACCTTTTCCCTTTTGGGCTTTTGAGATTTCTTGCAGAAAATCTGTTTACATTTCCTTTTTAGACAGTATATAGTATATACCAGAAAAAAATGATGTGGTGATATATATGTACAGAAGTTGTATGTATAGGCAGACAGAGATTTGGAGAGACAGTTTTTTCTTTTTTATTAAAAAAAAAAAGAGAAAAGGCAGTGAAATAATGGAAAGTGGATGAAATGGAGAGAGAAGGTGACAAAAAATATTTCACCAGTCACCACCAGTCATGTGGGTCTTTTTTTCATTTTTTTTTTTCATTTTTAGGTTTCTGAATTAATTTGTTTGGCTGTTGTACTACAAAACAGTTGGTTCTTGTATCTTTTTATTATTATTCAATTCACTCATCATGTTTTCTGTTATTATCATGTAAAAGAAGTATAGTCAAATTATTGTTCAATTGGATTGGATATAATTTTTTTTTTTAAAATTAAGTGGAAAATGTTGTTTTAGGAAAAGTGATATGTATTTGAAATATTGAAGGAATACGACATAAAATTATAATGATTAAAATTAATTTGACATAAAATTTATAGAATATTGACAGAGAGTAATTAGTATTAGAAGGTGAGTGAAAAAATAATATTTTTTCAGAAATCGTATAATAACATTTATATTTTATTTTTTTGGTTGTGTTGGA